ACCCTTTTTGGCCCCGCCCCTCAGGCCCCTGGGGGCTTAGGACTAAACCGGCAACTATTTTTGTTGACCTTTGTCCATGGAAGGTCCCTGCAAAATTTCATTGAAATTGGTTCAGGGGTTTTGGAGAAGAAGTCGAAAATGTAAATTGTTTACGGACGCACGACGGACGACGGACGACGACGGACAAAAGGCGATCGCAATAGGTCACTTGAAACTTTGTCTCAGGTGACCTAATAAAATGTGAATGAATGACTGCCTTATGAGGGCCTTTCCTTGTTAAAGGGGGATCCCACGTCACCGAACCTTTGCATCCTATTAACGGCTAAGTTTATCTTATCTTTCAGTAACTCTTAAAGTTAACATCAGATTCATGTAATTGCAAGGGCTGGAAAGGGCTTTTATAGGCAATGCCTGTGCCTAATCCAATTGTGTTTTTTGAATACAATAAAATTGATTTGAAATGAAATGTAATTGCAAGGAGGCAAATGAACAAACATAATACCTGCAGCACACATGCCTCCATAAGTGTAATGTATGCATGTGTGCTGCAGGTATTATGTTTGTTCATTTGCCACCTTGCAATTACATGAATCTGATGTTAATTTTAAGAGTTACTTAAAGATAAGATAAGTGCTACATCAATGAAAAACCATGTCGAAGGCATCCTTTACAGCAGTCTACCTGGCCCTATTGTGGATAAACCAGTCATTGGACTTATATTTAATGCTGAATATTCAGCAGAGAATATATAAAATAGCTACTATTTTTAAAGGTTTTGACATGTCCCAGCTTGGGAACAGAACTCATGGTCTTCCTGACACAAAGGCAAACATTTATTTTATTTTATTAAAAGTGAGGCTCTTTTAAAGGAAAAGTTTACGCTGTACGACATATAATGGATGCCATTTCAAGGCATAAATCAATTGGTCCTTCTGGTCAGACTAGCTAAAAACATTAGTTTTTAGAATACGAGAATCAAGATTGCTGTATTTTAGGTGAATTCATGCATGCATTTAAATGGATTTCAAAGAAATTCCACTGAATTATTTTTTACAGTAACTAGTGCTGCCTGAACTGACACATGTATTATCTGGTTTAACATTGGTATATGTTGGATTAACTGCAGAAAGTGGTCAAAGTGGAAGGTTAGGGATAATAAGATAAATGTGTAATGGGTATAGAGATAAAATTATCTAGAGGTACAATAAAAAAAAATGTGGGAAGATAATTGGCAATGCAAGGAAGGATAACTACTTTTAGTTTAGGGACGTTGTGAGTGTATCATCAGCAGTCATAAGAGTGGTTACTGGTAAGTCTGAGATTACCCGAGTTAAACATGGCATTAAAGTAGCTATAGTTTGACATTGCCCCAAGAAATACCCTGTGGCAGTGATAAAACTGAGATTACCTGAGTTAAACATGGCATTAAAGTAGTCTGACATGCCCCCCAGGACTACCCTGTGGCGGTGATACGTGTGAGATTACCCGAGTTAAAAATGGCATTAAAGCAGCTATAGTTTGACATTGCCCCAAGAAATTCCCTGTGGCAGTGATAAGTGTGAGATTACCCGAGTTAAACATCGCATTAAAGTAGTCTGACAGGGCCCCCAGGACCAGCCTGTGGCAGTGATACGTTTGAGATTACCTGAGTTAAACATGCCATTAAAGTAGTCTGACATGGCCCCCAGGACCTGCCTGTGGCAGTGATACATGTGAGATTACCTGAGCTAAACATGGCATTAAAGTAGTCTGACATGGCCCCCAGGACTACCCTGTGGCAGTGATAAGACTCGTCCTCCACCACCACCTCCACATCCGTGAAGCAGCCTGCCTGCCACATAGACACAAGGCCGCGGGACAACTCCTCATAGTATTTTAGTCGGCTGTACATATCCATAATTGTGGTCTCATCTGAGTGTGATCCGGATGTTTACTGCTCACCTCAGATCTATGCGTAAAGAAAAAACATATCTTGTTTTAAATTCATACAATTATGGAGTATTAATCTAACATATGTGTACATGTCTGTTTAGTGGGTTTTTTTTGCCAATTTTACAGCAAAATATGGGTATTTCACCATCTACTGATGATAAGATTGACTTTGAAAGTTGGAGAGTCAAATCACATGGCAAATAGACATACAGTACATGTAACCTGTCTGACCCAAGAGTTATTCAAGTTCCTTTCTCTCAGGACCTTCTAAACAACCTCCAAACGCAAATTTCATTTAAATTCCTTATTTATAAATGTCACTAAATTTCCCCACAATACATCGTATGAAAACTAACTATATTTTATTTATCATCAAAATGTATATAAATTAATACAATAGCGAACTAGCCCATTTAATATTATCATCTGTTTAAAGAATCTCCTATTACAATATAAACCCCTATATACTGTAGGCATAAATACTGTATTACAGTATGAATAATATGTCATATATTCCATTTTTATTCATTTTGTTGTATGTAGCTGGCCCAAATTGGCCCCACCTAATTATAATATTGTATGGTTTTCAAATGCAATGCAACTTTGTATAAAACTTTGAATTTAAAAAAAAACAAATTGACTTGCACTACTATTCAAGTTTAGCAAAAGAAAAAGGTTCAGTGGTTTGTTAATATCTAAACTAGAAAAAAACTGATAATCGCGCGCTGGCACAAGTAAACAGTATGGATTGAAAAAGAAAATGCCCAACATTCTCCAAGGAAACAGCAATGGTCTCAAACCTCTCCCAGCATTAAAAAAAATAGAAAATTCATCAACAGGAAATCTACAATGCACGTACTGCAAGTCTTTTTGACATCATTTTTTTTCGAGTAGAGAAATTATACCATGGCATTTACCCTTGCAAGTTTGTTGAAGTAAATGAAGAAAACAATAAGTAAACAATAAATTCATTGTATTTTACTCATATAAATACAGAAAATAAGCTTTTCTACCTTAACCTAATCATACTATTTGTAAATAATCGAAAAACACCTAAAAAGAAAAAAAGAATGATGTAAATTTTGTATGCCAGAACTCATTATAGTCTGCCAAACACATTTGTTTGGCTGTACATGTCACGTGGCCTTGTTCGCCTGGTTGTTTCACTGGCAACGCCAAGAAGTATGGTGTCCTCACATGCTTTTTTCTGTGAATTTTGTTCTTAATTCTATGTGAGTCCAAGTTCATCCTGTGCAAAATATTTTGCTGTAGTTAAAAATGTACTTAAAATTTATTACTAACATTTTCAAACACATACATAACGTCAACAATGTGACTCTGGCACTATATACATCGTCTTATATCTGTAAAAACTTCAATACAAGCCAAAATACCTTAGCTCAGTAAGCTGAAATCTCTACAAGCGTTTTGATCCAGGACCATTGGATATTTGAATTTGAACTCGATTCACTAGCTATCTCGAAGTGATGCAAACTTACCGACAACCCTATCTCACGTGAGTACAAAGGCCCCGAGGATACGGAGGTGTCCCAATCTTATGGAACTTCAACATTTACCAGCTGGTACAACGATGGTAACAACAAAATTCAAGTCATTAGAGTGTCTGCTACACCTAAACCATTTATTGTCATTAACATCTACATGCCATTTAGAGGGAATACAAACTGTGATGAGGAATTTCAAGAAAAACTCGGTCAGCTATCCGAAAACTTGGGACAAATATAAATATGATTGTGGCGGGAGACCTTAACACTGGTATCACTAAGGGTTTGTCGTCAATACGAACAACTGCTCTAAAAGGATTCATCACTGATCACGACCTTTCCTACGAGGTAACAGATGCAACCTTTATACATCCCAACAGGCAGGATATACATGTAGCTCAACTGATTATGTTCTATACTCAAAAGGACTGCACCATGGGCCCCAGTTACTATACGCCATGATTCTCTCCTGTCAAATGTCTCCGATCATTACCCTTTATCATGCAAACTCAATTCGTGTCTGAACATATCGCGAACATATGAAAGAATACATCAGACATTGTGTGCATCTTAGATCAACTGGGATAAGGTACATGTAGACACTGACCTACATTATGTTCATATAGAGCTTTATTCAGTAATGCTACATGTATCTACATAGATAATCTGCAGAGTACATCTAAGGATTTAGCTAAATTGGAGTCAGTCACCGCGCCAGACTAACTGAGATCATAGGCAAGGCCATAAATATTGCAGCACCTACAAGCTAGGAAACCTGTACGAAAATTGCATAAACTTACAGTAACACGTATCGCAGAGATAATATCTGCAGAAAGACACAATAAGGTCGGTTTCCGAGAATGGAAACAAGCCGGGAAACCGAGACAACAAGATCAGCCAGCGGTAGTCAACAAGAAAAGAGCAAAAAAGGACCTTCGCCGAAACATACATATTCACAGGGCAAAGAAAAGTGACCATATAAAATCTAAGATGATGGAAGCTCGATCACAAGACATGTTTCTCTTCCACAAACTTGTTAGTAAACAACAAGGTAATACAGTTACAGCTATAAACCAACTCCTAGTACAGAACTCACTTTGGGCAGTTAGCCAGGCCATCTACTACTGGCGCCTTTGATGACGAACACCATACACAGGCTAAGTTAGACCTGTTACATATTTAAAATATTTGTAAATACTGTAAGCTGGTGCGTCAATTGCTGTTGATAGGGAGATGGTACGTAAAGCTGTTCACATTCTCAATAAGGGTAAAGCACATGATGTATGTGGAGCATTTTATCTATGGGGGTGATGAGCTTCTGGACATTCACACAGCAATCATTGTACAGATCATTGCTGTCAGCAGCATCCCTGAATAACCAACACCTATATACAAGAAGAAGGGAGATAAACACCTAGGAACCTCATACAGGGGAATTACTGTGATGCCAGTCATATCCAAGTTCATCGAGTGCATTTTTAGAGATTATCTGCGCATTATTACAGAACCAACACAAAATCCACTTCAACCGGGCTTTACAGCACATGTGTCCCCAATGAACTGTGCTCTTATATACTACAAGAGGCCATCTTGTGTGCCAAGCAATATAACAAACCGTTATACATTGCTTTCCTAGACACCAAATCAAATCTGCTTTTGATGTTGTCTATCATGACATACTCTCAAGGAAAACTTTTCTACAGGGTGTAACTTGAGTACTTTCTACGGGGTGTAACTTGAGTACTTTCTACGGGTTGTTACCAGATTACTTTCTATGGGGTGTAACCGGAGTACTTTACAAGGGGTGTTACAGGAGTACTTTCTACGGGGTGTAACCGGAGTACTTTCTACGGGGTGTAACCGGAGTACTTTCTACGGGGTGTAACCGGAGTACTTTCCACGGGGTGTTACCGGAGTACTTTCTACGGAGTGTGTACCTGGAATACTTTCTACGGGGTGTAACCGGAGTACTTCGGACATTGCTGAATGACTTGAGTGTTGATGCTACTACCCTTGTTTCCTGGAACAACAGTGTTTCAAAACCATACAGAGTATAACAGGGCGCCCGGCAGGGAGGAGCGGTCAGCACTGAATCTAACAAAATATATGTGGACAGTTTATTGGACATACTCAAAGGTAAGCAGATCGGGAAAAGCATAGGTGTTATATACATTGGTGCTCCGACGTATGCAGATGACATAGCACTTTTTTTTGTGGAAGATACACCATATGATTTGCAACTCATGTGCAACGTGGTCGTTAAATTCAGCAAAAGAGAACGCTATATACCTTACAACCAACTAATTACAAGAGTGTCGTACTTGAAATTCTCCCATACTACCAACATGAGAGTCTTCAAGCTATTCACACTTGTTATATGGACGGTATTTCTATGCCAAACGTTAACAAAACAACACATCATGGTATCCTTCAATCGGTATCGGATCAGCTTGCAACCAGTATGCATGACAATATAACAAAAAGTCACAAAACAGCATATTCCCTCATGGGTGCAGGGCTACACGGAGTAAATGGACTTGATCCAGCTCCAGCATGTAAACTTATACAATGGAAGGTTCTTTCGAGAAATTACTCGAACAGATTCTGTCCTTAATTACCACACACCACTGCAGACACTGCTGTGTATGTGCATGATTACAGGTATCATGATGATTGAAGCCGAAATTCACAAGAGAGCACTTGCCTTATATGGAAATAGAAGTCGTTCAACAGATTCGGTTGAAAAACAACTTGCAGATAGGCACCTTAAATTTTCAATGCCAATCAACTCCAAATATAGTTGGTTTAAGAAAACGAAGGTACTACTTGTAATGGACAATCTTGATTCACCGATGACAACATGCCAAGTAGGGAGAAATGGAAAGAGACATGTGGAATTCTAAGGATCAAGGAGTACTGGAGTCATCCGTCGTGTATTGGCTTGGAGTTATCTAAATCTCTAGAGTTCCTATACACACGCTGCTATCAGCCAGGAAAACCATGTGTACGATATATAGATAGAGCATTTTTTGATGACCTTTAGATTTTATATGACAA